ATATCAATGAAGGCAGGAGAGGACTGGACTGCGAGCGCACCACGTTCTCACTCTTAGAATTTTTCTCACCGAGGGGTCAAAGCCTTTCCAAGAGGTGCCATTACATTCCACAGCCATGACAACAGTATTTTTCTAAGAGCTGCCACTTACATCTTATTTTCCTAAAAGTGTGCACAGCAACACATATTTCCAGTGTGGTTGTCTTAGTGTGTTAGCTAACAAATATCTATAAACCGCCAGATGTTGGAGTTTATAACTCCTGACCACTCTAACAGACCCACCTAAACAACTGTGCTTGTCTGGCATAAATGCAGAAAAAATTTTAGCAAGATACATTATTGATTGATGATTTTGGTCATTTCGTGGGGTCGCTAATAATAACTTATGGATAAAAACACTAAGGTAACACTTTCACTTAAATAGATAAGCTCAATTCTATGCTTGGAAGCTGAAAATGATAATACAGCATTAAAAATTCCAATCTTAGCCAGTATGTGGCAGCACAAGCTCAACATTAGATGAAGGGGCCTCTGAAATACAAACCCATCACTAAATGTTTTACTAACACCTGGCGGAACACACTGTTTAACCTTCCTCATCAAACTTGCATTATTGTCAGACCGTAAAATATTTTGCCCATACAAGGATCAGCAGTAGGAAAACTGTGATCTTTTGATGTATAAGAGAAAAAAAATGCCTTCTGAAGGTGTCATTTCTAATCCACATCTAATATGTATGATACAAGGCATAACTTAGATACAGACAAAAAACACTTCATGGACACAAAATGCAAAGTGTGAGGCACTGAAGGTAATTTTGAAATGGAATTCATTTATTAAACCATTTCAAATAGTATTTTTATTATAATCAGTGCTTGTTTTTTCTAAGTTATACACGTATTGTATGGGCAAACAAAAGAGCAAACAAATTGTGGTGAAAGAGCTAAGAAGTATTTATCATTTTTGTATGGAGTTGATTGATATTGTGACACACTGTCAATATTACATTTAGTTTTGAAAGTTGTCTCAGAGAAAGGGATGCAAATGTAGGACACCCAGACATCCTAAACCACTCAGACCTTTTGATTCATTCCAAAACAGCCACTAAAAACCTACGGATTTTCTGGAAAAGTACAAATCTTTGTGTTGCTCAGAAAGATAATCCCATGGTTCACTGAGGGCCAATGCCAAACATAGGTGGAGAGAACAGAAGGTCAGTTTCAGGGAAGAGGTACAGCGTATAATTTCGTTAATGTGTACAAAAGTCTTTTGACTTACAAAACTCAGCTTTCATTGAAAAGTCCAAGGTTTTTCATCCACTCTCTTTTTCATTGTTATAAAATGAACAGTGAACCGTGGCTATGCATCCATCCAGCTTCCAAGCACTCTGTGCTGCACACAGCTCCACTGTCCCCCCGCTCATGTAGGTATGAGAACAAAGTATAGCTGGGTATACTTTACAGGAAACCACTTAGGGCCAGATCCTGCTAGTAATGCTCTGTGTAAACAAAGATGCTATGAAAGATTGATGTAGATGCAAACCTCAGCCTCATTGCCATATGTACTAATTCAGTCAATCAGTACAGTAAACAAACCTGACGCTCTGAGGTGAGTTTACAGCTGGAGGTTATGAGTTATTATTGGATGGCCCAGATTCCACTATCTTCTGGTCTCCTGTCAATTCAGTCTGAGTCAGAGCAAGAAATCTGTGGGTAATGCTGCTTCTCCCAGGTAAGACTGGAGATACAGCTCATCGCACATCATTTGCATTAGAGCTCAAACTGATGGGCAGAGCACAGAGCTAATGAATAATGTAGGAAGTAAAGATCTCAAGGTTAAAAAGGTGCTTATGAGTATCCAATTGTTAATATGATTCCCTTCATTTCATCCATATAAGCAAAACATGCAATCTTTGTTTGAGGTAATCTTATTTTCTACAAAAGAAAAGTAACTTCCCACCAATGCATCCACAGACAGTAAAAAAAACTAAGAGAGAGTCCATTAGTTGAACAGCAACTTAAGGAAATCTTAGCTCCCTTAACATATACTCTACATACAAATGAAATACCTGCCAGTGCAGCTAGTTTCTGCAGTTCTCTGTTAGCACTGAGGGGAAATGAAGAAGTGCTGAACCTCTTCTCCCTTTTCATTGCTGAGTGGGACCCTGGCTGCTTCACTCTCATCAGCTGAGTTGCAGGAGGCACTTTCTTACCGGAGCCCTGTAGAACCAAGAATGGGAAAGGAAAGGATCTTGTTACTGCATAATTGTGGGGCCAAGTAGTTCCTGCACCAAAAGGAATGGTATTGGAAAAACTCTAAAGAAGAAGTCCTGCAGAGCACAGGAGAAGAGAGGGGTGAAGATGTTGTGCTTAAGGGTCGGGTTCCTTTCCGAATCAGATCAGGTGATTCTGTGTCAGGCAACTTGATCACAGCCGGTGGTGTACTGTACCGCATCTGTCGACATAGTAGTTTGTGGCGGACTTCGGTGGGCAGAATAAATGCAAACAGATGGAGCTGATAGAGCTGTCACACAGCATGTTCAGTCAGTTCTCATTCCATCTGCATGTGATACTTTCAACAACTGTAACATGTCCAGCGGACACACAGCATTACCCCCTGTTTTAACTGCTGTTTTAAAGCCTCAAGTTCTGTTTTTCTTTTAATATTTTTGTAAATCCAAAGTACAGCGACCCAGTTGGGAGTAAGCGGTATAGAAAATGGATAGTTGGATGGAAATCCCAAGAAACTGATATGACAGGAAAACAATACATGAAAACTGACAGGACTAAAAAATTGGTATGGCTGATATTAATACTTTTTGTTATTATTTAACTGATTACCAGCACGCATACAAGGAAAACAATCTAGCTAATGTTAAAGTAATGCTGGGAACATTTTTATGACTCCATGAATGAGAGAAGTAGACTTTTCTTAAGCACAAGGCAATTTAAAGTCAGACATCTTCGGAAGGCAGACAACACTGCAAGTCTGTGGTTTTGCTCTTTAAGGTACTTCCCTGGCTGCATTCATCTTTTTATATACAGTTTATCAACCCTCCAGAAATAACATGGCGAAAATAGCTGCCACAATGCCAAGTTTTATTCTCAGAAACAAAACAGGTCATAATGGGGGTAAAGCAGGGACTGTTTTTTTCATAGAAAATAAAGTCATAAGATTGTGTCTCATGAGAAACTTGCCAGCTTCTCTACAGGACACAAAAGTGATTATAGTTAAAAAATATAAAGATGGGTGATAGAAAGCATGTGCAAACACAGTAGTTGAATTTAAAGTGGCATTAGACAGTAAAATCTATTCAAAAATCAAAACAGGGTTGTGAAAACTCATTCTGTTGCTTTTAACTCATTCAAAGAATAAATTACATAAATCAACAGTAATGCAAACAAACAAAAATGATACTGACTGCATTGGCTTTTTTATGTACAGAAGAATGCAATTATTTAAGAGTTAATGAACATGATGTATAAGAACTGCATTCAGAAAAAGTTTTCGGTAAATTTAATCTTTAAACACTCAAAAGTAAATAAACACAAACTTACATATTGGTGTTCTGCAGGTCCATTTTTACTCCCAGACTTTTTAGATCTTCCAGCTTTGGAGGAATCCTAAAATAGTAGAGTTAGAAAATAATATAATTTATCTCCAGGTTCAAATCTGGGCATTTGTATATACAAAGCTTGCATATGTTACCTTTTCTTTTTTGCTCTTGTGAGGCATCCTGTGATGTGGATCTCATGTGTCAGCAAGTGGGACTGCGGTTACACGTCAACAACACACAGACAGTTCCTTGGTAAAGACGTCTGATCGTGATGAGGCTTTCACGGTCCTCTCTTCGTGCACCATGTGACCGAGCCTGAGCCGCATGAAGCTGTGTGGTTGTTTCTGCTGTGGCAGTTCCCCACGAGTCACACATCAAAAAGCCACCTCTCATCACAAGAGGAAACACGACCGAGCTCTGCTGTCAGCGTCCAACTTGACCACGGCGGGGACAGGACTTTGTGCTGCCGTCCGGCCACGGTCAGACAACTGAGCTGCTGTAGGACGTGGATGCTTCCACAAGGGGGCAGTGTTGACCGACGAAAGAAGGAGTGAACGATCCGCGTGATGGGACCCGATCTCAGGCTGTGTCAGCAGACTCTCCTGGCTCTCTTTATCTGTTTATGTCATTGTATTAAGTGATGGACTGCATAAATGCACAAAACACTATATATAGGCTTTAATTAAATTAATCTCGGATGACTAAGAAATTGGTTTGTGACTTCTTGATTGCCTGGTTTTGAGCAATGATCACTTTCATCTTCCTCATGTAGTTCTGTAGTGCATTAGATTTGTTATGTATAAACTTCTGTCAGCCAAACTAATAGTAGAAGGAGTTGTAAAGTCACGGACATCAATGGGAAAAGCTTTCAAACCAAGCTCATTCTGCAAAACATTTACACGGATGTTGATTTTTGAAGGCAACAAAACTGACCGGTGTGCATTAAGTGTAATACTTCTAAAGGGGAGCTGATGTGGAACCTGGTGGAACAAAAAAAAAGCAACAAAATACAAGACAACAGCATTTCTGAAATGACAAATTTGTCATTATTCCCATTTTGAAATACCAAATGCAGTGATTTGTTTAGTGTAGTTTTTTTTCAATATTTAGCCATTCAATTTCATTTTATTAGATTTATACTTTGGTTATGGTTCATTATTGTTGATAAACGTCTGTGTCCATAGGGTGGCAGTGTTACATTATTATTGCTTCATTTACCTAAGAGAAAAACATATACAAGAAGGTCAAGTATTCTTATAATTGACAGGTATTTGCATTTTTCTTTTTTTAATTAGGCACTCTGTCATTGATCGAATAATTAATTATTATCTAAGCATAATTAGATTAGATAAAAAGAGTCCATTGAATACAACCAAGACACTCTGGATCGTGGCTCTTGATTAGTTTCTTCATCCCCATCTGTGTTTAGGAAAAAACAAACAACTGAATTTATATCAAACCTACAGGGAGAATTCCTGTTTCATATCCATATCCTGCCTGCCATGAGTAGATGCTTTTCATTATGACTAGTGTGAGAAGAAAGTGCAGATTGACATGAGCAACGACTGCGTGTGTGGGCAACAAACCGAGTGGGACTGTATTCTGTTCTGTTTGTTTATGTGGCACACTGGTGTGTATTGATCAAGTTGTGAGAGTGTTCTGTTCTCTGGCTCACTTGGTCTCCATTCCTCCCTGCGTCCACGATCTGAGCTTCATCATCATCTCAGTTTTATTACCGTATGATACGGCTCCCTTCATTTCCTGTCTCAGCAACATGGGTGAATGCAGCAACGTAGGAGGAAAGGCTCAGGTTGTTTTTCCCTTTTTTCTATGGACAGCTGTTGAAATGAAGAATAACTTTGGCATAAGGAGATATTTTCTTTTCTGCTCTCTCTCTCAACAAGTTAACCAAATATTTTGTCACATAAATCTTCTCAAAACCATGAAAATGTTGACGTTTGTTTGTTTTTGTTTTTTGCCATACCCAGTTCTTTTCAGCGAGTTTTCTTGTTTCAGTTCACTTTCCTCAGGCTGTGAACTCTCTTTACACTGATGGTGAGCAGTGAGTGAGGGGAGAGGTGTCGCAGCACAGGCTTGTTTTCTGTGAGGGCTGTGCAGCCAATGGGACTAATGAGTGGGGCAGCTCAACAAGAGCTTGTTTATTTTTCCAGAGAGAGACAGAGAAACGGGAGAAAGGAGGCAGAAATGAACTGCCTGTTTGAATTAAAGAACAAAGGAGAACCTGAGGGTGGGGATAGCCTGGTGGACTGTAATCACCGTGCAGTGTGGCAGGTGCACAGTCACCAGTGATAACACCTAAATGCACATTGATTGCATCACAATTTGTCACACTCGAGCTGACATTCATACAGCCGTTTACTCCAGAAGAGGAGCGATTGCACAGCAGATTAACAGGGTTTTCCTGTATTTATTTATATATCAATTCATTTATTTTTTCCAGGACAATACATTTGGATCACTTTGCAGACCCTTTGGCTCTAATTAGGAAAACCTGGATCTTATGTTAATTTCAGACAAAGATAATCTGCAGGGACAAAGGGCTAACAATCAAAGACTCGTATCTATTTTCCAGAGGGCAATTATTTCACATAAGTTAGAAGCTGGTGCTGGCAAGTCCATGTTTATGTAAGGGGTCCTAAAGAGATAACTTCTCCATGATGCCTTCACGGCTAGATATTCATTTGTAATGGTAACAGATGTTGGACTGTTCTTTATCACAAGATTTCCCACGTCTGAAGCTGTTCTTTGAAAATCCTGCTTTTCAAAGGCGTCCTCCTCAGTTGGCAGCATAGCAGGGAGTGCAGCTAAGTATCACTTGTCAGAGGTGCACTTTCTCCAGGATTTCCTTTCGTCTTCCTGGTCTTGCATACAGTTTTTCTGTTTCTCATTTGGTTTTTGAATGGGGAAAAGATGTGGCCAGTCATCAGAATGAAACATTTGTTCACTGTATTTGTGTTGGACAAGTCACTTTTTATTTAAATTTTACATTTTCTGTTTCTCACTTTGATAACAGCGAAAGTTTAACAGGGAATTGTGTTTCCAGAAACGAATAAAACATAAACTTTGTTCTGCTTTGTATTTCCCTGTATTTATAACCTTGCCTAAGTTCAGGACTACTTTTCCAAGAACATTAATAACTATTAGCAACTATTTTCCAGCATTCTTTTCATTGAAAACTTAAATATCACAAAGTAATGAAGAAATGCTTTTGATGTCAAAGGAGGAAGCTATATAAGGTCAGGTAGTCTCTGCTTTCCGAAAGTGAGGTTGATATGTACAGTATGATTCACACTCCTGGATGATGGTATGTTTATGTTTACCATGTAACAGTGCTCTCAGTTTTTGCAAAGAGATAAAATTCAGATGACCCCACCTTGGCCCAGTAGATGGCTTATTTGATGGGTTTGGGAAGACATTGTGTACCCACTACTTTAAGAACATCCTCCTCTGGGAGTCAACTTTCCAGTTTCTCCAAGGTGACCGCATTGTATTTTCACATGTGACTGTTATCGACCTTCTAACATCCACCTTGCTGTTACCTAATGTCCTGAATATCATCTCATTTTCTGCAGCATATAGTTGATGCTGTGCCAGCCTTAACCTCATCTCCCATCCCATGGGTGTTGGACTGCTTGGAGCTGTATTCTTCCTGTC